ATTTAAAAATATTAAAAGACTAATGTTTGAAAAAAATTTCTTATTGGAGAATTTTAATTCTAATGTACACAATTCTAAGAAACTGTAATTGAGTGATTTAGATCAAGTTGTTATTAAATTTTCAATCAAACGAAAATTCTTGTAATCAAATATATAGTAACGTACGTATTATATAATTATTTTAATTGCTGTAAGATTTCAATAAATTAAATAAAATTTTATTGAAATATCAATTAACATGTGATAAATAGATGAATAGTCATATCAGATAAAGATAATAGTCATACTAGATTAACTTTTATATAAAACGACAACAGTAACGTTTTATTAAATCATTAGTTGAAGCACATTTTTTATTGTGTAGCACATAAAATGAGTTTCTTTAAAAGCATTTCGAAACAAGCTTTCGTACTTTTTCTATTGAGGTAATTATACTCAACAAACAGCAGTAATAGAGGCTAAAAGCATTCGTACATTTTATGGTTTTATTAACGTAACAAAACAGTTTTAACAAATGGTATATCCTTAAAAAGCCAGTAACAATTTTATAGTCCAATAAAATTTGCAGTCAATCAAATTAAAAAAACAACATGCTATCTCTATAACAATTTTTACTGTTGCTTTGAACAAATTGTAATAATAATGTATGTTACACTGAACCCGGAACAATATAAAAACCTATTGAAAATTTATTCAACCACATGTTTCTGTTTGGGAATAAAGAAGGCACTGTCATTTCTCGTTCCGATCAAACTTGCTGTAAAAACGAAAGCCAGGCTGAATCTTTGAATCTTTAAAACTTATGAATATTTTTATATCAAACTGAGTAAAAACAATATGTTATTACAAGTTATCTTTATCTAAATAGAAGCTGCACTGAGTTCAAAATGCCTCATAACATATTTTTTACAAAGATTCTAGTGAAGCGTTTAAAAAGTCTTTAAAGATCATATATAATATACTCAGAATTAAATTGAATATCATTTTTATTGTGCGAATCTTATACCGATTTAAGTAAAAACGCTTTGTTACGCTTTTCATTTATTATCATTTTGAAAAAAAGGATTGTGCTTCCGAATTTTAACCTTAATACCTTTTGTAGCTAGGGGTATGGAAGATCGCTTAAATTCATTAAACTTCATCTTACCAAGCCTGCAATTTTTTGAATGTGTATATGCCTTGCGATCTATGCGATTTATTTGGTTTGCTTTTCAAAGTTAGTATGTTTAACATTTTGTTGATTAATTGGTGGTTGCAAGGTCCTTGAAACTGTATACATCATAATTGCAATATTCTAGTCAAATATTCAAGAGTTTCAATTAGTTAAAAGGCGTTTACCTGTAATTATTCTAAGTATTTTGTATTCACTGCTATTGCAGTTTATTTTTATTGCTCGTGTACAAAATGAGAATTAAAGTTATAAACTTCAAAACTTGTTTAACATCGTTGAGTAAGATTTGAGCATTTTAGAGTTTTACAAATTATAAACATGTGAAGCTAAAGTTTATTTGATTTTTATCATAAACTGGGTCACTGTTACTATTTTTTGGAACATGAAATAGTAAAGCACTATTCAGAAAACCATTGCCGATTTATACAGTTGAACGGATCAAAACAGAATGGACCATTGCTCGTAGTGTTAAATAACGTACCGGTAAATGATATTTTTCCGATTTTTACTTGTACCGATTTTATAAGTTAAGTCGTATTTGGGCAATGCGCATAACAATTTTTGTAGACTAGTTCAAATGCTGTCACGAATCACCCTGTGTGAGTATAAGATGCACAAAAATATATGGAAACCGTTCAACAACGGAAACTATTTGTTAGAAACTCGATCCTTATATTAACTAGAGAAAATAGGACAGCTTAATCATTTGCAAAGCTTTTACGATAATGTGCATAAATTCTTTCTTTTTGAATGATACACTGGTGAAAAATGAACATGAGTTAGACTCGTACAGACATACCATAGACAACTGGACCATTTATTCCATTGTTTTCATTAATTTTATTTTCTTTGCTTTAAATTCCCATATCAGATGCATTCAAGTATGTTTTTCAAACCTTCCCAGAGAATTTTTTGCATGTAAATTTCAGTTTGTGATAATTTGACATATTAACTATTTTATACATGTTTTTGGGTCAGATAAAAAAGAAAAGGAAAAAGAAAAGCATCTCCACATTTTCAACATTTTGTTTAAGCATAATTAGTAAAATTATGATACGCCAGTTCGATGCCAGCGAATGGGCTTGGTTACATTTGTATATCGATTAATCGTTTTAATATGATTTATGTCCTTGCACTTGCTTGTCGAGGTGAGCCTTATATCGGTCGTAAATTTGACGTGTTAATGCACACCTACTATTGCATAGTTGATTAATAAATACTTTTAATTTATGCTTTTCTGTGGATAACTGATTTATCCGTGATATTATGTTTGATAATTTCACAGGGAAAATTATCAAAATATAATTTCACACTTTTCAATGACGAAACTACTTTTTTAAGATTTCCCCATGTGGTACCTCAATTTTATTTTTGCTGACAATTCTGACAATGTCAGGCTGTTTAAAGAAAAAGCAAAGCTGAAATTGATAAATAACTTAAATGTCAAAAGTAATAAAAAGAAGAAAAACTAATTTCTATTCATTCATATCCCAATCGCCAAATTTTTTGTTTCATTTTTACAGTCTGAAAAATACAATCCTTCCACATGCAAAACTGCTCTTAATGACATTTGGGCATAATAAAGTATCCTACGAGCAATAACTGCCGTATGCTTGATGAAAAATTGAAAAGCAATGACAGCCATCAGCTCGAAGAAAAAGTAAACAACACAACGTTCCTGAGCCAGCTTCCAAGTTTTCCAATTTCATAGCTGCTTTTTTTTAATGTTTTCACATCTGTCATACTTACTTTTTGTCTGTTGCAATCCTCAAAATAAGTTTTCTTTCTTTTAAAAAGGTATATGACTAACAAATTCAAATGATATTCCTCTGAATCAAACACAATTATTTTCCTCCCGTGAAATACACAACTTGGTTGCCGCTTACATTAAAGAAATCCAGGTCTAAAATAAATTCGCAGTAAGTAACATAAATATGGATGGATAGTTGGACTTTTCGCCTACAAGAATTGTTGCTTTTATTATTGAAACAAGCGATCATTGATATCATTCTTTTTAATAAATGGATAATGTCACCGTCATTTAACGTTGATTGTCGGACTTATTTTTCAGCTCAAGACTTCTTGTTTTAATGAGAAATTCCGACTAAATGGGGCTCTCAATGGGGAAACAGATTTAATATTAACGTTTATATTATGGATATTTCGATATAACTTGTTTTTTAGCATAAAACAAAAAGAAAAATTTGTTTGTTTGTTGTGTAAGATTGAATTTTATTTTTTATTTCATCTTGTGACCTTTAAAAACAGTGTTCTCTCTCTGGCTACGCCACTCGTGAGAATACTGTTTTAAAAGCCCACTCGATGAAATAAAATTTCATCTTACACACAAACAAACAAATATCTTCTATATAATATACGTGCTTCAGTGTTATCATATTAAACATAAAGGTCGTTAAGGAATACAATGAATTATTACATTGTTAGTCATACAATTTTAAAGAAAATTCGATTGATAATTAGATAAAGGCAATAAATGTAAATTGAACTGAGAACCATGAACTAATTATCAAACCAGATTTTCCATTTCGTGTTAATTTATAAATTATTTGAATTTCTCATTTCAGCGAAGTAATGGATTAAAACTAATCTCGAGATAAATGTTAAATCAGAGTTCTTCCACTAAGTTTTCAATCCCATTTTAGTTTGTATGATTTAAATTGAAATTAAACATCTTACTAAATGGTTTTCATTGTATTTTAAATTCATGTCATAAACTCCTATTGTACCAATTTTATTAGAGACAATTAGTTCGGAGAGACTCAGTAATTATTGATAATACAAAGCAAGAAACACGTTTCTGAAGTCACGTTTCTATCCTAAATATGTAGGAGAACATGTAATTTAAATAGTTGGTGAGAAATGTAAGTTAACTTCTGAAAAATTTGGAAACTAATTTTGCGATTTCCAATTCCAATAAACGTTGTTTTTTACATCCCAAATTACAAATAATGATGTCATTTGTGTTCCTTTAATCTCTTTTTTTTCTGTTATAAATTTATATTTTTTTCTTATTTAATTTACCATAATTTTTCATTAGATATATATCATAATCTTATCAGTACGTTTTGAATCAACGCAATAAAGATACTATATACTACTTAGAGAATAAACTGTTTTCTGTTAAAGACATTGTATATTCATAGTTTTATTCACAAGCACAACGCTCAATAACTGTAAACTTAGCAGGGGAGATTGAAATAATAAAATTAGTGGCAAAGTTGCAAACCTATAAATGCAGTGTCTACGATAATAAATAGAAGTGTGTGTGTGTGTGTGTGGGGGGGGGGGGGGCAACAAGATAATGAGACTAAGAGATGCAGGAGCTTCTTTCAACACATGAAATAATACAATTCATATGGTGTAAAATATATTTAATGTATTAAATATTATCGAGAAATTGTGTGAGTAAAATTATATTTTTTATTAATTGTATTTATAGGTCAAAAGGAGTAGACAAAATAACCATTTCTGCGTACAGTTTGTTTTAGTGTGCAAATAAGTACATGTAATCGAAGTATTACGGAGTAATGTTATTACGTGTATTAAGTGTTGTTAATTTTCCGATTAGAACGTTATCTTCAAGATGTTTGAACATCTACCATTTATACAATGAAAACAATGATATAGTGTTTAAACATACCATGGTCTTAATATAAAAGGCACCTGATTCCCGATGGAAACATGTTCGTATAATTTTCATCTTCTTGGTACATTAAATGCTATTTACAATCCATTTACAAGAAATAAAATACATATGAAATAATCAGATTGAATAAGGATATAAAGCAAAAGCAAACTATCATGTGTCACATATTAATATTTATTTGCAAATATTACACATCAATCGAACACAACGTAGATTATCTATCAAGGTTTGGTATTGCAGTTTGGGTTCAGTGTCCATGGGTCACCAGCTGGTGCACCTACAAACTCCAGACTTGTACACTGAAATAGAAAAAAATCACAAATAGAACACCTATCTGTGTACTATAAGATTGACATTGCAGTTACTTAAATTTAAATGTAAACATGTAAATGTTTTATTTGTAAATACAGATTGTTTTTCAAGTTGACAAAATGCTTTATCAAATGGACACGTTATCTATTTATAGTTACTTTTTATAATCTCATTTACATGATAAAACTTTGGAAAAAACGTGGCAGTTGTGATGTTATTACACATTGCAATCCATATACTATTTTGTTGTTATATAAAATAGTTACAACGCATAACGCTTTATCGGACACTCTGTAATCGGAGAGTTGTTAGAACTATTCCCAGGTATAACAGTAAGTTTATCAAAATAATGTGAGTTGCAGTTCTGGATTTTTTTAGTATAAATGTCTTTTGTAATGCATTACACCTATAAATTTCAGTTTGGTTTATTTTTCCTTCTACATTAACGTATTGTATCAAATAATAATTGTCAACTTAACATGTTCTTGTTAAACTGAATAAACACAATTTGAAACATGATATAATCAGTTTAGACAATTTAAACATAAATATGGATGAACTTACTTAGATATGCCACTTTAGTTTGTATATATTTTACTACAAGGTAAGGTAGTCAAACTTACCACGATGACTCGTCCTTTCTCATCTGTTTCAGTCTGACATTTGCATGTATTACCATACACTGCTAATTCTTCGCCAACTTTAATGAATTTGTCATACACTAAACAGCCTGTAATGATAACATGACATAATTTTATTGTTTTTTAAAAAAGGTAAAGAAATAAGACATTGTCATTTCATTACCAGATTTTTGCAAAACCACATTTATATCTACTTTTAAATTATAAGAAAATGTAATTTGTAATAGATTATTAATTTTAAAGAAGCCAGCAATCCCACTCTATTCAGACATAGTACTTTACAAAGTTTACAAAAACATATACTTACCATCTGCACATACAGAGGTCGAGTCACATACTTGACCACATGTGCAGCTGAAAGAGAAAAAATCCTTTCATCCAAAAGAAAATCGTTCATATGTTCACATTCATACTGAAGTCAATGTAAACGACGGTATGATTTTTTTTACTAGAACTCATTAAAATTGGCATTTCATTTTTTTTTCATTTTCGCTATATTCATTTCTCAAATAAGGTGTGTAATGATTCATAAAATGTAACAAATAGCAATGATATAATAATATGTCATGGGAACAATTATATACTGTGCAAAAATATTTTATTTGCAGATAATGAAGATGTGAAATCTAAAAGCTAAATTACATGTTATACAAAAAGACTAACGAACATAAGCAACACTTACTTGGAACATTCATTAGCCATGGTGTATACAACAGCAACTACTAAGAGAAGGCAAACTTCGAACCGGAGCATGATTTAGATTGTCTGAAATATGAACACATTTAAATAATTCACATACCTTGTCGTAGGTTGAATACTGAAATTCCACAGATTATTCTGTTACAAAATAAGTTGCAATTAAATAGGAAACGTAAAACTTACTTGGACTGTTATGCTACAACGAGAAAACTCTGAAATATTTTTTGATTGTGACGCCGTGTTGATGTCTTTTATAGTCAAATGTACGCCCTAAAGGAATTTGATTATATCAATTTAGGATCAATCATGGCCATGGCAGATCGGTTTCTATAATCGATTACATAGTTGGGTAACACATGTTATTTACATAAAAAAACAAAACAAATAGTGCGATGACTTATTACGTTAGGTTTGTTTACAGAATGCTACAAAATTTTGATACTGTATGTTAAGTAAATGTTCCATGTAATTTATGACCTCTGTATTTATATTTATTAATCATTTATTTGATAACAATATTTATAACATTAACTAACATTTAAAAGGGTAGTTTGTTTTACAGTTTAGTTATCAAAAAATAAATCTGTTTTTTGAATATAGGAAAAATAGGATATGATATATCGATAATGACTACATTTTTGGTAATACAAATGCCATATTTATTGCAAAGTACGTTATTTTCATTCCTATGTTGAAAAAGTAACCGATATTAGTTACACGTAAACTCACTCATAGCATTACGGATATTATGCTCATTTACATCTATCCTTTTAATGGCATTGTCATAATGCATTGTCATAAGTCTGAACAAGGTAAAGCGATTTTCAAGTTGTGCGTCTTTTATGTGCTTTTCAGAGGTTCATAAAGCTTTTCACCAATGCTTCAACTAAATCATATGAAGTGTTAAATTGAAAGTTTTTCACTTAATATCCTCTAGATAATATATTTCAAAAATATTTTAGCAGTTTTGATATAATAAAGATTTATAGGTATGTTGGAAGAAACTCATTATATGTGCAGGTTTTGACATTTTGATTATGGAAATATTTGACATGTTGTTTTCAAAGTTTATCAAATTATGCGAACATTTGAAAGAGAATAAATTTAGAATAGCAATTTCCATTTTGTAGTAAATTTATCTTATTTTAATAATCATATGTCCTATATCTGTGACATTTTAATAATTAATGATGACAGAAATAGATTCTACGTTTCTTATCAATGTATACTAGGAATTATAATTTTACTACAATTATTCAAATTGTCATATTGACCGATAACGTTTTGCCCGGAAGTAAAAGCACGCCTGATAAATGAGGATAGAAATATCAATTTAACGATCATTTATCAAGTTTTGAAGCATACAAAAAGATAAATGAGAAGCGAATACAAAAATCGCGTAGGTACTTGTGTATCATATAAACTTGTTGCTTACTAGTACAATAACAAATTGTCACAATGACCGACCGATAACTTCATGGCCGGAAGTAAAAGAGCACCTGATAAATGATGCTTGAAATACTATTTATACTGTATTACTTTTATGAGTGATCATTTAACACGTTTTGATAGTGAAATATTGGGGGCAAAATCACAACGCATTGGTGCCATACAAGTTTATCACTCCAATGTTTAAATTGCAGGCATTTATCAAAGTGGACGATGTTTACAAAAGTGCGTAAATACTTCTTTTTAATTGATCTTAGTTATTTCCTTTTTGTTTTGACAGTTCTAAAGAGATTTCAAAACATCAGAATATGTTATAGTATTATATAGATATTTCAAAATTTGGCTTAATAGTTTCACCCTTAATTTCGACCGCCAAAATTAGATTTGCCCTGTTTTGAATATTTGGGACAGTCCATAAATAGTTTAAATGATTTCAATAACAGAACGAATAAATGTGAGTAGAGCTTGGTCAGGCTGCAACACATGTGTATGATAATCTGTGTCTAATCTGGTGAGAGATGCTTATGACATATGGTCATGTGATCGGTGAGTATTGATCAGATCTCTTTTTTAGCTGACTGTCTTTTATAGTTGTTTATCTTAGATAATACAGGTATACTATTTTCAAGAATTTTGTTTAAATAAACGCCATATAATTAACAAATGCACTTAACTTTAAGTAATTTTTAGTTGTAAGATTGTCTTTAAATAATTATATATGATTGATAATAACATTATTTTTTGTTTAGAATGAGTATGTTCGACGTATGCAATTAAAGCCTTGTTGTCAATATTCTGGGTGTTGTTTAAGTAGTTAATTTAGTTAGATAGTTAGTTAATAGGTGGAACTCATCCCGCTTTTATAATTGCGCAGATTATTGAAATAATTGACAAATTGAATGATGAAATATTGAATATTTAACCAGATTATTCTTGAAAAATTTAAAAATCTTTAAAATTCTTAGAATTTTTCCATAAATGATAGATCAATTATTAATTGATTTATCCCTTACGCTAACTGATCAAGGAAAACAATAAAATAATCGTGCTTAGTTTTGAACTGTCAAATTGTCACAAATACAATCGATTCAATTGAAAGTATTTTTCAAAATAATGCAGTTTCCGAATTAAATAAAGTTATCATAAATATAATTTGTCTTCATTAATTGCTGTTTTGAACTCTATGATGACATGTTTGGATCAAACACGTTTTTAAAAGTGTAAGTAAAGTTGCCTGCAAAACATATATAATTAACCAATAAAGAAATATTCAATAAAGGCCACTAACCTTTGTCAACAATGTAGTAAAACAAAGCAATGTGAGGATAATTTCAGTTCGATAGATAATCGCTAGTTTATAAACTGATCATGAATAGTTATTATATTCAAGATAATAAAAATACCATTTAGTTCAGCTTTATTTGGACTAAAAGAGCAAACGTCAATTTATTCATTATCCTTCAATTATACCTTTGTCCGAAGTATAACAAAATGGGTCTCTGTTTTTTTGGCACAAATACATATTAAAAAAGAAATAAGATGAAATTTCTATTAAATTATATTTTCAATACAATTTTAGCATGTTTCTCGATGAATCTTTTTGTTTTAAAAGAACATTTAATTACAATTTAGGGGGCCGTGTCATTGAATCTGGATACGCGCCGCTATAGAACTTAAAAAATAACAATTAAACATTGAAAACCAGATTGGTTAGTTTAAATATTAGGTTATAACATATAATGCATGTACATTTAAATATTATGCATAAAATTTACCAAAAAAGCTAAAATTAAAAACAGCGTATAAATATGATCATCCCTATTTTACCATATTTATATTTTTATTTAAAAAATATTATCATTATTTTCATCATTATCTTATCATTAAATTCCATGGAATATTCAATTTTGTGAAAATCATTTTGCTTTACATCAAGTGGTATAAGACATAGACTTAAAAAAGACAATATCCTCGTTCGTTCGTTCTGTATTTCTAATATCACTTTGTAAATGACAATTCTCTTTGTTTTCATGTTACGAATGTAAAATGATAAAAAAAAACTATCTGACATTCGAAACACATCTGGTACTGGCACAAATGCTGCTTAAAGAGGAGATAAAGCTAAATCAAGTTACATGGAAAAGTCATCGAAGGTTATATCAGGTTTCTCTGTCCTTTCAAAGAACAGCGTTAATGTGGCGAACTAAAACTTTCGTTTTTATAGTATATTAATTTGAGTCGTAAATCATTCGTCAGTTAAAAAGTTATTTCTTAAGCATAGCTCTTTTGTTTTTTATGAGTTTATAACCGTTGAAATACGCATTCTCAGAAAGAATAAAGCTTTCAATAAACTCTCAATAAACATTGCTTCAGAACAATATCATAAATTCGCTTATTGTTTTGCATTGACAACTAAAATAGATGAATAGGAAAAAGATTAATTCGTAAAGCTGCATGACTCAGATGAGCTTATATATTTTAGAAAATCCAACTTGAGAAAAAAACGTACTAAGATTTTAAAGACAGTAAGGACATTCAAGATTCAAGTAATAAGTTAGATGTTCGGTGCGTTTAATGACTGATTTTGAAATATTCATCACCATATTCGAACTGCGTGACCAACGCAGCAAGGTGTTTTTTTCCATATTGTGACATCTGTTTGATAATTTACATGAATTGTATGCGACGTTAATAATATGAAAATTACTTCCATTTTTCACTTCACAATACCTTCAAAATGCATTTTCAAAATTGTCATGAATATAAGAATAAATGTTTGGGCATGCTGTTTTATGATACTTTTAAATAACAGACAAGAAAACAGAGAAAATAATGTTTGAAATCAATTATCGGTTAGAGATTTAAATCTCTATTATTTTTGAAGATAGTTTGTTATTACTTATTTAGAAAAAATGACTTAAAATTTTTTTAGAACTTGTAGAAGATTTCTACAAATTATCAGTAGTAAGACATTCATCATGACAAATTATTCCATAAGTAGTAAAGTTATGTTTTCTCTCTATTTTGTCATAAAAGTTGACTACAATTATAGCAACTCATACAACAGATTGCTTTGAAATAAATAATTCTTTTAGCATAAAAGGAATTTTTAATATTTTGTCATTCCTTATATTTTTAATAATCCAAAAAGCATTATAGTGTGCTTAATTTTAATTGTGAAAAATTCGTTTACAGTGAAAAATATTGAACTTTTAGTGAATTAAATGATAAACTTTAACTTTTACAATACCACTAAAGCTCAAAAGCTTGCAGTCAGAGAAGCTTATGTCTACATTTTTTCAAAAAGAAGAAACGAAAAACAAAAAACAAAAACTGGAACAACTACAATAACAAGCCAAAAGAGGAGGTTCATTTAAAACATCGGGTGGAAATAAACTGTTCTGTTGACATATTCTTACCAGAAGTATTGAAAATATTCTGCAGAAGAAGGACGTGTCCTTTTTACAGTCGTTTGAAGATTAAATTCATGTGTATGATAAAACTTAAAATGCAATAAAATTATAATATCGCCTGTGAAGTAAGAATTGATGAACATGGTAAAAATTAGTAGAATTATTTTTGAAAAAATTTATGTAAAATTACATTTCATGACACGATTTATAA